TGCATTCAAACGTCATATAAGCTAATTTTATGCTGAAAGGTTTTGTTTAGTACTTAAACATAAAATTACAAGTCAGCAGAAAGCAGCTATTATTTTACCAGGGTGATATTATCATTGTGTAGGGGACAATTACCATTAAGTCATTTATTTTCCTGTCAGAGTTTGTACATACATATGACATCTTAGACTTGGCATTGCATAGACTGGTATTCTAATACTACAAGTCTAACAGTTATCAAACTTTATAGGTGGATTTATTGTACAGAGTATTGCACCAATATATCAAAAGAACATTGTAGGTCACTGTGACCTATATTTTCTGCTTCACTGACTTTGGATAAACTTTTCATTTAGCTCCGTTTCTTTTATTTCTTTGACTAGACCTGAAGTTAAGGCCCATTTAAATCAAAGTGGGAGTACTAGTGGATGCATATATATATTGTTTAACAAATGTTTTCTATTTTTGTGTTCTCAATTTGATGTCCTTTTTTGTCAGTATCTGGGTCCCTGGGTCAGCTATTGATTTTAAGACTGATAATCGGTCTATTCCCCTCAAACTATGCTAATTAATATTTACCTTTCTTTGATAAAAAATTACCCATCAATTTTAACAACAAATTTAGAAAATGAAAACATTGTCTTGAATATATTGTCTATAAAACAATTATGAGGCTGAGATTTGTGACAATTCTCTTGCTTTTGTATTTATAAACATGTAGAAGAAAACTACAAAAACACAAACATGTATTTTCTACTTGACATGCTTGCTCATGTACACCATAAGTATTATATACCATTCTTCCCTTTGTCAGAGAAGCATTGTTGAAAGAACCACCGCATAACTTTGTCTCAAATGTTCTAGAAAGTTCTGTCAAGTCACTGTCTAACTATGCGAATGTTGGGCATATGCTTTAGAAATATTACGGTAAACTCAGAACTATGCGATCTACATTCATCCCGACTCTGAGCTCACTTCACAGAAGATAATCAGATTGTGTAGGGTATTACTTGCATCAATGAAACCTGAAATAGACCACCTTATAATTTCTCCAGTACAATTGCATGTTGATCTGGTGCTTCCATGCAATGTAATGTAATTCATGAGAAGATATTTTATCTATAAAACTCAGTATCTGATGTTATCCTGACAGTCTGTGTGTGGTTACTGGTATAGATATATAGATAACAATCATTGGTGATGTATATATATATTTATATATGTGCATGTTGTCAAAAACACAAGGTTTGTATGCCAGGCCCAATAAAATAGGTACATGTAAACATAATTGTGAGATTTTCATGACATCTTTTGAAAGTTTTATCTCTCAAATCAGATGACGGGCAATCAAAGGAATATCGTGCACGTTGGGCCAGGATTTTTTTTTAATTGAAAAGGAAAAAAATCCAATAAATTGTATTCAATGCTAAGAGACCACCTGTATTAAGAGACCAACTTTGTTAAGAGACCACCTGTGTTAAGAGACCACCTTTGTTAAGAGACCACCTGTGTTAAGAGACCACTTTTGATATCCCCATTGTAGTGATTTCCGTGTGATTTTAATCTGTATTGAGAGACCACCTGCATGAATAGGCACTTTTTTTAAAACTTCATAACAGTGATCTCTAAATACAAGATTGGACTATAGTAACAGTATCTGAGAATATTGTTTATGGAGATTAAAAGTTTCCCACAAGCAAGCTCAAAAATAATAACTTTATCATGGACTTATCACAACCTTAAGTCTCCAACACAGTTGCACCGTATTGTTTATATAGACAGCTAGAGATTGTTTATATTTTGTGTGTATACATTGTATATGCACGTTATTATGTGATCTTCCTGCCAGCCGCCTTCAGACAAAAACCTGGGGTGGCATTTCGTACACAAACACTAATGAGTATGTGTATAAAATATACCCTCTGTGAATCATAACACTAATTGGTATTAGTTTTATGTAGCTTACCTAAATATAGTATCTGATCTTATCATTAGGACTAATGCATTCGAGCACTAAACTTATGACTGTACCAAATGTCTGGGACTTGAACGGATGAACCAAGCTTATTAATGGTACTTTTATGTATGGGTGACAAACATATGGTATCTTTGGGGATGAACCTGATTTCTAGGAAATTTGGTTTGGTTTAAGTTTGTTTAACGTCCTATTAACCGCTAAGGTAATTTAAGGACGTGCCTCCATGTGTGTAGTGTATGCGTGCTTGCGTGTGTGAATGCAGGAGACAGGGTATGTTGGCGTGCTTGCCTCCTTGTGATAGCGCGGATCTGATGCCGACTTTATAGTGCTATCTCACTGAAATGCCATGCCGAATAGGCACCAAGCGCAGCATTCCGCCCGGTCACATTATACAGACAATGGGTGAACCAGTTGTTGTCACTCCCCTTAATGCTGAACATTAAGCAGGAAATAACAGCAACCATTTTTAAGGTTTTTGGTATGTCCCGGCCTGCAGACAGAACCCATTGCCTTTCTCACCTGGGTGAATACTCAACATTCAAGCCAAAAGTGAGGTGTTGCTAAGCAAGGCACAAGGAAATAAAAGGTAGTTAGAAGTAGAAAGATAGATAAAGATCCCAAATATTGCAATGGGTGCAGCAGATTTATTTTGGTCGCCCATTGTGTCCCCAAATAGAGGACACCAAAGTAAATCCCCGATTCTGCAGGGGGTTCCCACATTAGTCAAGTACAAACTTTATATCATGTGAGGCTGAGAAACATAACTGTTCTATGGTTACTGGGCAAGTTGCTTTATAGACTTACAACTAAATTTTAAAAGAAAAATTTCAAAGTACAGTAGCCACTGCTTTTTGAAAGGTATCTAAACAGCTGACCTGTAAAATGTTCAGGAATCTCTCAGTCTTAAGCTTGCAACCATGTCGGAAACATTTTTCATAAAAACTTAAGAATTAGCTAACTAGCGTCTAACCCTCTATTAGTACACATTAATAAGGGTGTATTCACTTTTGGTGAAAAGTTTATTAAATCACGGATGATAAGATTCCTCAAACTGGGTCATATCATTTCTTATATAAAAGTGTCGGAAGTTTTTTGTTGCAGTTAAATAAATATGATGATATCGTTGAGATAAAATACATATGTAAGGGTGGATCCCTGACACAGTGGGACACCTGTCAGATCTAATTATAAAACAGGGAGGGGTACATAGCCTCCTGCTATATGATAAACTGGATTGAGCAAGTACTCAAGTTTCAAAAATTAGATAATACTCGAGCTATATTTAACTGCATTTTCAAAGACTTGAGTAAGTAAGATTCATGTGGTGTGATGTGCTATTTTTTCATGCACATTTTCTCAGTGATATAATATACACAATTTATATGCATGTATATAGGAAGATAAAATAAAGAACAATTTTGACTAAGACAAACTTGATGCACCCTGCTTTTGAAGTTTTATATGACATGTCTTTGATGAAGTACAGAACAGCTTCTTTAAGAAATTAAATTAAAAGTTCGACTCTTTGTGAATCTGTAGTCAAAAAGTATGTGTGCAGGGAGTTAAATTGAAGGCTTGACTTTGTAAAGATGGAGTGTTGAGTCTTTGTGTGTGTGTAGAGGTTACAAATTTGACTCTGAATGTCTGTATGTGCATATTAGTGGAAATTTCAATTTTGTATGTTTGCAGAAAGTTGAAGTTTTGACTGTGTGTGTAAATGCATCAGTATTGTTGTATATTTATGTGTAGAAATATGAAAGTTTTGCTGTTTATTGTACAGATGGTAGCGGTTTGACTTATTAGTTTTGTGTGTGTAGAAGATAGGACAATGAGTGTATCTTTGTGTGTATGCAGAAACTTCAAGTTTTGACCTTTACCTTTGTGTAAGCAGAAGTTTGAAGAAATGACAGTGCTTTTGTGTGTAAGCAGAAGTTTGAATGTAGAAGTTTGAAGGCCTGACTTTAATTTTTATGGGTGTGCAGATGTTGTGACTGCTTGCAAGGATATATTTCAAAATAACTAACCAACAAGACAGGACCTCCTTGATTATTTGAGACCAGACTTTCACAAACAATCTTAAACTTCAGTATATTCCTTAGCCAGGTAAAACCTGTGCATTTTCATTGAAATACATTGATAGAGACATTGTAATTTTCCTGAAATACCTGCATGGTCTCCTATGGAAAAAGCAGGGCTTTTATTGACCCTCGACATTTAGCTGTATCAGAAGTAAAAAAAAAGAAACCTTTTTCCTGAAATCGGAAGAGTCACCAGGCATTTATATAGACATGTGTTTTCAAACCCAAGAGTTAAAGCTCGTTAAGAATGTCAAAATCATACTCTCAAAGCCGTGAAAAACTATACATGTATACTGTATAGGATGTTCGTGACTTGTTACTGGGGCCTGGCACCAGTACTTGTAAGGTGACATGTCAGCGATGTGTGAAAAATACTTTATCCGTGACACGTTTGTGAATTTTATATTGTGCTATGAAATCCAAGCAGATCGTTTGTATTGTAAAAACACTACAGAGCTCAGTGCTTATCATACTACAGAAAAATGAACTGCAAGCTTTTTCATATATATATGTCCTTGTTAAATAATGCATGAAGCACTGGAGGTTTTTTTTTGGTGTCTGTTTCAAATTTCCTAATTAGTTTATAGCCTCTGGTGGCTGTAAGGTGCGTGTGTGGTTCGAGTAGATAGTTCTCTGTGTGATGTGAGAAGATAGTTCTCTATATGGTGTGATCTATATGGTGTGAGCGAGGGTGTAGCTTTCCTCTGTATGAGGTGATATATGTAAAACACAGGGCGGAGGTCTGCAACCAGTTGAGAATAATCTTATTTAAAAAAAAAAAAAAAAAATAGTCTTAAGTTTTACTGTAAACTGCATTCAAACTAAATTTCTGTTTTTGTTTCATTTTATGATTGCTCAATGTTATTGTTCTTTATCATCATAATATCACAAGGCTAGAAATATTTATATGCCAGTATTCATATAATTGTTGTTTATGTCATTTCAGGAGCTTAAAGACACACTAAATGGATTAAATCTGAATGGCGAAAAAGGTTGGTTGAATATTTTTGAAAGTTTTCTTGTGTTATTACAAAAACAAAACTAGTTGAGAGCGACGTTAAATGATGTCATCGTTTGACAGTAGAGTCAAATTTCATTTTCACTTGTATAGGTTCATAGATCTATGCAGTGGATCGTCCATATCTGATATCAGAAGATCATTTTACATGATTTGCTAGAAAGTTCGGTCTAGAATGGTTATTAGTCTGATCAAGACTAGTAGAATCTTCCCCTACCCTGAGAGTGTGTCTCAGAGCCTCGGGGTAGACAACAACAAAAATCACCCCGGGGGTTAAAGATTTCTCTGTTACACCCTCAAGGTAGGAGATTATTATTTTTCTCCCATCCTATTCTTTCATCACAGCTCCATTGACAGTAGTCTGCCATGTTTGTAAACAAAAACACATGTAGGGTATGCATAACGTCATCCACTTTTGTTGATGTCACAGTTACCGGCGACGCATTTTAATGACGTCACAATTAAACATGTGCTAATTGGCACAAGGCTATCTACCCCTAAGGGGGGGGGGGGACAAGCTGATCTTTTCAGGCTAATTTTAAAGGGAGACACACCTGTGAAGGGTGAGAGAAATAATTATCACAATTTGTTGTCAAGATATTCAGTGATACGTATCGGATGTGTTACATCTTCATCACATAAAACAGTTCTAGTTAAAAAAAATGTTCTCAAAATAGTAATTTTTAAAAATTATTCAGGTATATATTTGAGTTCCTGGTCACCATGACTACCTGGGGTTTGGTTTGATTAAGATTTTATGGTCGAGGAGGCTTTAATCATCTACAAACATGTCTTGGCAGGATGATTTGACACGGCCAATAAAGGATTAAATGCCATTGTTACTAATCTAATCAATTATTATGATCCCTTAACCCTTTCACCACTGTACACCATAATGGACTCATCCATATCAATGCATGGTAGAGTCTACTAAAGTTACATAGGGGTGAGAGGGTTTGATCGAGGTAACAATAAACTTTTATCTCATTCACATGCAAGATAAACATCTCCTATATATACTTGACTGGTGATTTTGCTGCTTCAGATATTTGCGTAACATATTTGCTCTTTTTTATAATCAAGTATTTTTCCGACCAGCACTTCTTGATAGATTGGTTGAGATTTGACATTACTTGTTTAAACATGAATCTGGATTAGAATTGGGAAATGAATTCTTGATCCAAACTTGATTCTGCAAAGTGTTAACATGTGCTTGGCGATTCGTCTATTTTCACCTGCAGTTTGAATCAATTCTGCACAGGTGTACAAGTTGATTAACCTGGCTACCTGGGTGAGACAAAGAAAGTAAAATGTAATAAGTTTTAGTGTGTTATCAGTGTTATTTAATTTATTGTCCTAAAATATTTATTAACGGTAAATAAACACCAGGAGAGTTAGTTCAGGCCTTGTAGAGTTGTTATGAAAAGTTGAAATGTCAGATAATTTGAGGGCAGTTGTGAAACAGCTGGGGTGAACTATATATTGTGTGTAGTAAACAATTGTTTGTTTACCCTGGCCTACACTCCATGGTGTGAAATGTGTACTAAATAAATTAACACTATGCTTAACTTTGATCCTGTGTTTATGATACGATACATGTGTTCTAAGGTACAGCCTTTTCTTCTGGTCAGTTTAAATACATCAGGAACTTTAGATAAGTCCAGATAGCCAGTGGTCAGTGTTTGGGGTGGTGTAGGTCTCGGTGACCAGGTGACCATACCATTCTTCAAGATTAAAGGTCATGTACATGTTGGATGGTATTACAACCAGTTACCCCAGCAGTGATAAAGCATGCTTTCTTTATCTTTGTCAATAGGTGTGTTCCAGGGTGGATTATGTAGGATTTAATTTATTTTGTGTAAAATTAACCTGTCCTGAGAGGTTTCATGTCTTAAAATATAATTAATCAAATTTATCTGTCCTTTAATCCTTTCACTCCTGAAATTTCATGATGAACTATTCCAGCCTTTGATTTGGAAGAGTTCAAATGTGTCTTCATGCAGGGATGAATGAGTTAAAATGTCAAAGGTCTCCGAATGCTGAGAACTGAGATTTCTCTTTAGCTCTCATTTAGACGGATACTTATATTTGGAATTTAAAAAAAAAGGTTATTGCATAGAAGTAATTTTTATGAATACTCAATTTTGCTTGAAAAAAATTATGAGTTTTTGAGTTATAGCAAAAGAAAACTACCGGATATTTGTGTGTATGTGTTTTCGTATGTTTTAATTTGTGTTGTGAAAAAATTGTTAAATCACTATCTTGTATAATTCAGAATACTTTAAAAACATTTATGGCTGTATCCTGGTCGTCCTCTTGCTTTCAACTATAAGGATTTTCCCTTTAGCTTGGTCTAGTAGATCAGCAAACCGGAAAGCTGGGTGTCGCTGGTTCGATTGCCAGTAGAAGCACACTACCGGTATATACATCATTTCTTTTCTAAACATTTTAATTGAAATAAGAACACAAAACTGCAAAATTCTTTTACATGCTATAATTTGTATACCGTGATTGTTACATTCCCTGATTTGGTAATATTTTAAATTGGTTAGTTTATTTTCAACTTTCTTTCCTGTCACACATTTACAGATCTTCGAAAGTTTTACATGAGAAATTGTTACCTGACCGAATTTCGTACTGTATATATATATATATATAAATATATTGTATGTGTATAAACTGATATTGATCTTAAGCGTATGTGTAACAGTACTTACACAACACACCTGGTTCACTTTAGCCGGTGGTGTGTGTAATTGTAAACTATCACCACTAGAGTGTGGCTGTAGTGTGACTCGTTGGGGTTAGAGTACTTATAAATATACACACGCCAATAAACATAACAGACTCAATTATCTCCTTGTACTATTGGTGATTACGATCAGTAATAATTTTTTTTGAAAGATGGAGTTGTGTTTTACGTATCATTAGAACATAAGATGGCCTTCTAATAATATATATATATATATATAGTAGATAATAAATAAATAAGTCCTTGCGAAGGAAAATATAGAATAAAAACAATTTTTTCAGATCGTCCGCTAGGCCTTTCTGCCTTCTAGGGCTTCTTCAGGCGGATTGATGTTTATTTATCACCGTTGGTTACATGACGTCATCAATATTTGTATAGTCAACAATTTTAGTGACGTCATAAATAAACAAGCATAGTGACGTCACAAACAATACCAAGACAGAGAAAACATCTACATACAATACATTGCAAAAATCATTGTGCATTCAGGCTGGGTTTGAGGACCTTTATAAACATATTTTCTTTAATTTCTCTTGCAACTACATCGTCGCTATTCAGTTTGTAAATAGGTAACACATGAAAATCATCTTTAGAACATCGATGCATATGTTTGCTAACTTTTAAAAATCTTAGTTCATTGTCCTTCATTTGTTGTCTATGTTCATTCATTCGTATTCTCAATTCACATCCGGTCTGTCCGATATAAAATTCACCACATTGTTTACATATTAAAGAGTAAATAACATTCTTAGAATTACAGTTAATGTCTGATCTAATTTCTATTTTGGAACCATTTGCAAAAATATATATATATGTGGGGCTGTGCAGGATGTTATTTCCACTTGTTATATTAAAATAACAATTACGGTATATGTATTACTGTACAATGCAAGATGATGTCATTCTTGTAAATATCTTGTAAAATATAACATTGCATGGATATGAATGAAACAAATGTATTATTTCACCCTGTAACGTCAAATACAAAATTGATCATGATAATAATTTCACATTTTAGCTTATACATGTTCATATCAATGTATATATATGAAGGCATTGAGCGGTTAATATAATTCGTGTTCTTTTGAACGTTGGATACAATTTATCTGAGCTGCCTGTTTATTTATCAGTAAAGATATAAAAAGAAGCTGTACAGTTCTTTAAAGAGAATTTATTGGAAATTGAAAAAGAATTTTACTACGTAATGTGTGGAATTTGACTGTGATGACACAGTGTCCTTCCGTTTGTGAGATTAGGTTCCCCGCAGCAGTCGTCACCCCTATATTTACCTGTGTCAACTCATTTATATACACCTGTGGAAATTACCTGTCCTCTTAGGTAGGTCTACAGGTAATACTTATTTATAGGCACACACATTACACTGCATATAGGTAAACTGTCATTAGTCGGTATGTAAATAGTGCGGAAAAGTGAAAAATTACGTCGTACGTCTCCGCTTACATCTGTCGTGTCGGTTGTCAACTTGACTGTGTTCCCGGATTATGTATGTACGACCTGTGCACTCACACGAGAGTATTCTTTTCTGTGTACGAAAGGTATGTAATCTTTTCTACAAGATCATCTGGGGCCAGGTTAGATCAGTTTTGTAATTCTTGGAGTTAATTGTAGCTTCTTATTAATGTCTTTACGGATATAAACCCATGGGACCCGTGATCACAATATTCTCCGACTCAAAGTAAGGGGTGGGCTTATTGTAGGACAATGAAATATCATTTTCTAGGATTTTTACCAAACTGTATTTGACATGAATGGGCCGGGTACCAGACATAATACTTTAAAAACTGTAATTAAAACTAACAGTTAATGTTTAATAGGACTAGGAATAGTGATAATAAAGATAGCGCCTTCGCTGGGGCTCAAACCCACTACCCTTGGCTCTCAAGCCCCATGCACTACCACTGAGCTGAAGGGAAATTCCCTACAGTTTACGGTTACAAAGGCAACCTAATCAATGCACATCTTTTACAAATGAAATGTTTTGAATGTTTTATGCAATTTTTCAATTATTTATTTCATCCTTTCTGGTTAGAAAGTTATGTATTTTTATTGTAAGTCCTTTAGTTTTTCCCGGCCTTATGATATCGATATTATTCAGATTCCAGTGTTAACTCATTCACCCCTTAAATTTCATAATGAACTATTCCAACCTTTGAATTGGAGGAGTTCAAATGTGTCTTCAGGGGTGAATGAGTTAGACAGCT